CCCCAAAACCCCAAAACCCCAAAACCCCATTACCTATTGATTTGATAAATCACAAAAGTATAATAAATTTGAATTTAAATGTTTAAAAAATCAAACTAAGAGTAATAGGGTCGATCCATTATGAGTTTTAAGATTGGGTTGCTTTTGTTGTCCTTATCACTTGTTCAATCCTAAAAAACAATTGATGCTAGTGTAACTACATGCCCATCAAGTCAATATTTTGATACAACTCAGTTTAAATGTATTAGTTGTCCAGCAAACAACGTCCAAGACTCAACTGGTAAGTGAAAATTTAAATATGGCTTTGAGGAGGGAAATAACTAATTAAACTTGCTTAGGTCGGGCTTGTAAATGCCGTGATGGTTATATATTTACTTTTGAAACAAGGTTTGAGTTCATAAAAGCTTGTACAAAATGCCCAGATGTAAGTATAGTCTATTGTGATTTCATTTTGACTTTTATTTAACAGAATTAAGCTCCTTCAAGAGATGGATCACGATGCTTAAGTTGTGCTTTGCCTGCTAGCTTGAGTCCTACAAATTCTCAATGCGTTTGTCCTGCAAATTATATCACAATTGATAGAGATGATGTAATAATATTAACTTTCTAATAATAATAGAGTGGTTAAAATCTAGATAGTTTCCAATGTAAACTCTGCGCTTCAAATACTTATCAGGGTCCTCCCTCTAAATCTATCTGGTCTTGTTAAGCTTGCCCACACTTTGCTTAGTTTTACAATGATAAAACTACTCCATACTCTTGTTAGTGTAGCGATTCTTGGGAACCAGCAAAAGATATTTGTGTCAGATCATCAGATGTTGCTAATTTAACCCGAGGATTCCCACTTTATTATGCAGGATAGATAACATACAATTATCTTCTTGATTTTAATGATGATAGGACTTAAAGAACTATTGCATATTCAGATCTTTACTATCAATATTACTATTACTCGGCTTTAGGCTGTTGGAAAGATTAAGATCCTGAAAAGTGCTAAATTCTAGCTAATCTGTGTGCTTTAACTCTCTATAACGAAAGAAATACAACCTGTTAATTCTACTAGTACTTAACAACTTTATATCCTTAAACCAATACCTACTATGGGGATGCAAGCTGGGTCAATACTTTACCATGGCTATACTATTCTTAGAAGCCTTCAGATCTCATTAAAAAGAGTGGAAAGGTTGATATGACCGTATCCTTTGTTTCTGGATCAGGAAGAAATGCTTCATTGACATTCTATCTTGCTAGATATCATATTAATGGTACATTCCTAGGTTTCTAACAACTAAAAAGCTAGCTTTCAATCTGCCCTTTAAATTACGATGATGTGTTGAATATCTTCAAGTTTGGAGCTGTTTCTCAAAATGAATGCAGCTTTCCACTAGAATAATTAATTCTTTCACCTGAAAATCAGCCAAGTGAGGCTAACGTGTTCTTCGACCTGTTTATTCAAGATAGAAAAGGAAATCTCGTAGATGTACCAGTTTTAATAAGAAACTTTATTGATAAAAATGATAAATTGATCAATGAGGGAGAGTTTTCTGATGACTGGAGATTCGTTAGAAGATTTTTCTTATACGACACTATTTCAGGTATAGAGCAAGTCAATGGGTATCCTAAATTAGCACCATCAATCGTGAGATGGGCTGCAGAGATTAAAATGAAAATTACTCTTGATCCCAATAATGAAGAACAAATATATTTACCTTATTTAGAAATAACCTATAAGGAAAAGCAAGCTAATCTTATCCATTCTAATACCTTAGCATCAGTCAGATTCGTGATGGATTACTATTAAGATATGACAAAGTTCTGGAAAGATATCTTGATTGCATTTATTGTATTCCATGTGTTGATCGCTGCTATTGTAGGTATAAGACTGTACTTCTTTATACTATAAAACCCTCCTGGGTTACTCTAGAGAAAATTTACTGCTAAATTAGCTTGGAAGCTTACTTATTTAGTAATAGATACTTGGAGTGAGATAATGTTCTGGATTGTATTCTTTACTACAGCTTACTGGTTTGTAACATATAAACTTTAGGCTAATGCTTATCTTTTGCTTCCATCAGTTGATGACTGGACAACAAGTTACAGAATTTTTGATATAGTATTTGGATTTATCTTAGCTTTGAGATTTATAGCAATCATAATGAAGATTATAGAATAGTCTACTGTAGACATATTCTTTATTGATTGGGAACCTCAGCCAGCTCCAAGGGATCCTCATCCTGCAAACAGAGATCAAGACCCTACTCTTGCTCAAATATTGAATCAGGAATCAATCTAGAAAACTGATAAAAATATTGTATGGAGATCAATATTTTTAGCGAATGAATTCAATGAGCTTTAAAGCGAGTATAGATACATCAAGCCAGAAACAACTTTGATTTGGTTCGGATTTTTTATTAAAGCTCTTGGATGGGAGTATTTCGCTGAAGCTAACCCAGATGTGAATGCAACTGACAATGATTTGATACCAATCAATCATGTACTTAAGTTTTTCATATCAGCCTTCTTGTTTTTGTTTATTATGGCAGTACAGTATATTGTAGAAGCCATAAATTCATATACCTCTGGTTTGAAATTTAATGAATTTCAAGATCTCTGCTCAATCACAAATATATCAATTTTGATGATGGATGAAACTTTTCATGGCTATTATATTCATGGATAATCACCAAGTTCTTATGCAGATGTCACACTAACATAACTAAAGATGAATCTTGATTAAGAAGGTACAGCAAATATTGGATTCAGACCTAGAGGATTAGATAATGTTCAATAAAGTGGAGTGTCCGATAAAGTTGTTTAGAGCTATGAAATATATTTACCTCTTGGAATAAGAAATAGCTACGATGAAATCTTCAAACATAGAAACTACATCAGATTATTAGAAATTGAACAAAAAAAATTACAGAAGGAATAGAAAAAGAGGTCAGATGAAATAAATAAGAAGCAAAAGTAGGAATAAGATATGCTTGAGGAAGACCAGTAAAAACTTATTAAAGCTCAATAGGAAATTTAATCTTAAATCAAAGCCTAGTAAAATATCACCAATTAGAAAGAGGCAATGATCAAAGAGCAGGAGATGAAGCGATTTGATCTTAATTAAAACTTAAAAGCTTACATTGAAAGGGCCAAAATGAACACCAGTGTTTATGTCAAGCAGAGAGAACCCTTGGAAAGATTGGTTAAGATGAAGCCTTCAAGCATATTACTAGGCTTTGATCCTGGTCAAGTAGTGTTAAATGAAATTAAAAGAAGTGAGAATAACAGCAAGCAAAACAACAGCAACTATTATAACAATGCCATGAATAGAAACTAAGCCAATATGAGCAGCAATTAGGGAAGTTAGAATCTCCCAGGAGCATAATAAAAACCCTAAGGAATAAGCAACGATATTCCATTTTTTATCAAGGACTATTTTGCCAACTGGCCTAGCTTTACTTCGATACTATATTGTCATTTGGACTATCAAGTACTGATTTTATTCATACTACTGTTCAGTCTATTTGATAGAGCGTCTGGATCAAGCATCATTAGTATTGGAATAATCTATATCGTCGAAAAAATCTTGGCATATATTAGACAGAAACTAGGAGAGAGCAATTTAAGTAAGAAAACTATTATTGACAGCAGATTTTTTGTCTGATTGGTTTTGCAACTTGTTTAAATAAATCACATTTATAAGTTGAGAGTATAATTTAATAACATTATTAATATTCTATTACTCCTATTACTAGTACCTCTATAATAAATAAATAGTTTATACTTTTCATTTTGATAAATACATTTAAATACCTTGAGGGGTTTTGGGGTTTTGGGGTTTTGGGGTTTTGGGG